TTCAGCTCCTCCAAACTGGTGTGAACATGGAGGGGAATTACTTCAGCTCCTCCAAACTGGTGTGAACGTGGGGGGAATTAGTTCAGCTCCTCCAAACTGGTGTGAACGTGGGGGGAATTAGTTCAGCTCCTCCAAACTGGTGTGAACGTGGGGGGAATTAGTTCAGCTCCTCCGAACTGTCTGTTGGGGTTTGGGCTTTGGGTGCATTCTCATACCAAATGGGAGCAAAACCTGTGCGCACAGGGTGGGAGCTGGCAGGGAGAGCCCTGCCGCCCCCGGCAGAGCTGGAACTGGGCTGACTGGGGGGCGTTGCTAAAGAAATGGGAGAAAGGAAGAAGTCTGGTGCGAAGCGGGAGCCGGAGGAGCCGCCTGGGCTCTGGAAGAGCTGCCGGCACCTCTCGGCGGCCGGCTCGCTAACGGCACCCTCCTGCCGAGGCTCCTCACCCTGCCCGTACCAAACGCTTTTCTTTTTCGCTTTGAATTTCACACCCGTGGCGCACCACGGTCCCTTCGCCCTTTGTGTACCAGCCCCACGCTGTCGGTTCTGCGGTTTGGGGAGACGCGGCGTGTTCAGCCTGTGAATACCCTGTGCGGCCCTTAGGGCTCGGACATCAACGTGCCGGTTCGTCTCCGCCGCCTCGGTCCTGCCGGAGGATCCGCAGGGTCCCAGGGCTGGGTTTGGAGCCCTCCAGGTTGTCCAGCCCCTTCTCTTCCCCGGGGAACAAGCTGTGCTCGCCAGGACCCTGCAAAGAGATGAGCAAAACCTTCGGTACCCGATGCCCTGTCACATCCCCGACTGATGGGGGTCCTATCCCGACAGCACGAGCTGGCACCGGCTGCGCTGCCCCAGGCGCTTCCATTGCAGCAGACACCGTCCAGGTCTGTGGGGAGAAACGCGGGATACAGCAGCTCTAGACACCACGTTGCTCTAACCTTTTGAAATAAAAGGCTCTTCAAAAAGGCTGCAGAAGCTCCAGAGATGTTTGAACAAAAGGACTTTTTTTTTTTCATCAGCTGCTCAGGAGAAGCTAAGAAGCCAGCAGCAGCTGGTTCTTTCTCTGTATTTACAACAGCATTAATCACGTTAGATGAACGGTGGAGTCTGTACCGTGAAAATACCAATGCAAATTTAGTCAGCTGCAAAAGCAGACAAAATAACTTCATTGCCACCAACCTGTCTGTCATCTGCGGGCAGCCCAGAACTCGCTCGGTGTCGCTGCTCCGCCGTGAAGCCGTTTGGAAATACCCGAGAGTAAAATTTTAGGTGGCTAATTTGTGTTATGTAGGCTTAAAAAATAGCACTGGAATTACACTTGAGGCGAGCAACAGAGCTAAATCTTTTGACGCATCCAAAGGGGAAATTGCTCCTTGGCCCGGCGCGGCTCTGGGGGGACACGGCCGTCGTGATTCCCCTTGTGTCCGTTATTTCGAAATAGCGTCTTAACGAAACGGCTGCGAGACTCGGTTTCCCTCCTCCCGTCTGCTCCTGCTCCCCCCGGGTGTAACTAACCCCATTAGCGCCCAGCTGAGCTGGAGCTGGGCTGAGCTGCCTCTCGGGAGGGCTTATCCCTTCAAACCCTGCATCGGGCAAAAGTATTTATGAACGCTGTGACGCGTGCGGAACCCGCGCTGAAGGCGCAGACGCCCGGGGATGCTTACGGTGCCTGGTGGCTGTTTCCAGGGCTGGCTGTGACTTGCCCACGCTCACCGGAGGACCTTCCTTTGCTGACTTGCGCTGGGTGAATAAATGCTGGCTCGCCTTGGGGAGCGCTGCCTGATTGCATTGCTCCCGGAGGGGTGAAATCTCAGCAGGAGCCTGAATTCATTCCGGCTCGCTGTAGGGCCCTGGTGAGACACGGGCTGGTTTCGGAGCCGGGAGCTTTGCAAATAAGCAGCGCGTTTGCGGAGAGGCAGTTGGGAAGAAGGGGAGAGCACCAGCCCCTCCGCAGAGCTCGGCCCCGGCTGAGCGTGGTGAGGGACCATTTTTGGGGGGTTTTGAAGCACAGTGTGGCTGGGTGTGCTTGCAGAGAGAGGGCTGGCTGGGAGCCGCGGTGGCCAGTAAGCACCAGCACGGGCAGAGAACGGTGGGCAAAGACCCGCAGGTGGTGGTCTGAGTCAGGGCGACGCTTCGGGGTTTGGTTAAAAACTGATA